TCCCTCTGAAGGAGAAGGACAGGTTGGACAAACCGCCACTGACCCTGGCACCAGGCAGCGTCTCCTGGACACAAACAGAAAGGAACGGGACGGAGCAGGATGTTAATTTTTAACCAGGTCTACGTCCCAGACCTTTAAAAAGGTTATTTCCTGCCCGCCATATTGACTGTAGAGCTCCTATTAGATCATTGGGTGAAGGCGTGTTGGAGCAGGACAGTGGAAGATCCCTGCAGCCCCAGAGGATTGGCTGCACCACACCATGCAGGGTTAGCTCCTCGCCTGTTTTAATATCCTACAGATCTGATGGAGTCCAGTCACCGCTGTTCTGGGTGTTGATCACATTTCTGAGGAGCTTCAGCAGCAGTACCATCGTCTCAGATATCAGATTATATATATTATAGTCACTACAGAGATATTGGAATCTGGGCTTAAATGTCAGCCAAACCCATTTAGACAGGGACAGATAAAACCTTTCAATAAACCAAACATTACCCGCCACATATCTGACTCAATAACCATTTCAAGGTATGTTCTTAAAGGACCCGCCCTCTCCACTTTAAAAATAAAATGCGTGTGCACAAGCCCATTTCTCCTCGTGCATGCTCTGTTTAAAAGTTGCTGTTCTCATACCAGCCTCCTGTGTCCGACCGTCCGCTCTAACCCCTAAATCCCTCCATCACTATAGAGCGGGGACTATATAGTGAACTTTATAGTGAACTCAGTTCACTGACCGTTCAGACGGATGATCAGTGCTTTTTACTCCATTGGTCACGTAACTCCTCCACCACCGCGCGGTGCCTGCGCCATCTTTGTTATTAGTCTCCGCTGTCAGGTAGCGGCATCCTCTGGCGACAGCGGGCCGCTGTGACAGCAAATCCCATAATGCTTTGTGAGAAGAGCTCTCAGCGCAAAGCATTCTGGGAAATATTTGCCTCTTCTTAAGCCTTCCTTTTCTTCTCATGCACTTCGTAGACACTTTTTCTCTTCCGACCCTCGGCCATTTTCAAAGAACCGCGGTGAGAAAGGTGAGCTTCAATGACTGTCTGAAACCGTAGCTCACCACAGATATACGCCTGAAAGAAAAAGATAGCTAACGGGACGAGCAGGTAGGACGGCCTTATGGAAACAGATCACCATGATGATTGACAGTTAGGAGGACCACTGATTGAGATGATCCACCCGGAAATGAAAGATCCTCCTCTATACCTTTAGGAAAACTATTTTCATTCATTTCAGATGGAACTATTCAGACTTGGATTATATTAAACTGCACTTCCAAAATTCACCACTGTTCTGCACCATTTTCCTTTTTCCTCTGAGCAGCCGGCTTGCTTGGACCTGCAATGAATCATGGGAAACCCAACAGAGGATACAGTGGAAAACTCTAAAATCCTGAAGCAAACTGCTTTATGGTAGAGCTTTAAATTGCAGGATATGGGCTTCGAATGTTGAACCCCCGATCATTTCCAGATCGTCAGAGCAGAAGTGAACCACCCTGCAGAGCTGTCGTAGTACCTTGATGAGCCTGGTGGCCCTGATGAAGCTGACGGCGTAGTCGTTATGTTCCTCCATTCCCGTGCCGATGGTGAGGATGTTGGGGTCAAAGATGATGTCGTTGGGATCAAATCCGACCTTGCTGACCAGCAGCTCGTACGCCCGAGTGCAGATCTCTACCTTGCGCTCCGTCCCTGTGGCCTGCAGGTCACATGACACCAATTAGCAGCCTTACACCATCAGCAGACGGTCTTAGGGAAAGAGAAAACTGTGAGCTTCTGCCTGGGATGGACTGGGAACGATTTACAGCCCCTGGCAGTTGGCATATGTCACCATATGCCAACCATCAGAAGGATGTGCATGACAAGGAAGGGCTATATATACTGCATGCATCATTTAGGTAGTTAACATTGGATTACTTCTTGAGCTCCTTGAGTTATTTACTGTCAGAGGTAGGAGCTTCGGCCAGAGAGGAAGTGTTGGGGCCGTTACGATTTAAGGAGGGCCGGTCCTCGCATGCTGAAATTAGGACCGGCCCATCGGGCAAATGCCCGCTATCACAGGTTAGCAGTCCGAGCCTGGCTTCTGCTAACTATGTAGCAGCAGTGAAGCAGTCGATCACAGCTCTGTCTGCTTCTCTACTGCTTACATCTCTGGTGTGGAGCAGAAACATCTTCCTCTGCTCACAAAACAACAAAAGCAAGACTTTTCCACTTCCTCATGCATTCTGTCTCAATGCCTTTGCAGAGTGGTAACAATTGCAACATCACCGTTTACTGCAAACATGCAAAAAAACGCCCAAACAGCTACTTCAGTTCTAGGAAAACCTTTGGAACTGTGACAGGGCCGGGCAGATTGCAGAAACAACAGGTAGGCATTTCTGTCAAGATGGGAAATTCTCCCACATGTTGGGACTGGTTCTGGCAGCGCTCAGATGTCCTGAAGCAGCAAACGCACCTTGGAGAGGTGGAAACTGGCTCTGCTGGGCTGAGTCAGTCACCAAAACAATAGAAACTGCAGAGCATCTGGAACCGTCGGATGTCCAAACAACAAATTCAGTCTTATGGAAGAACCAGAACTTTGTTTAATGTTCTAATCATGACTGATGATGCTTAAGATTCAGCCAACATGGCTGATTTCTAACTCCAACTCTAATTTCTAACTACAGACAGGAAGA